ATTGTTGACAAAATGAATCAAACCCATATTTATTTCTACGTTATCAAATTCGCGATTTTAATTGGTCAATCAACAAAATTGCATGGGTTAAAATTTTGTATTCCCTCCTGTTAATTTTTGTGTTCCCAGTATGTTCTCTCCTGTTAGAACTATACGCACTATACGTATCACTATACATATAGTATTATACGTATAGTACTGATCTGCCCATCTCTAGGTCTGACCCATCAAAAAGTACCAAAAAATATATATATTATACTTAAATTAACTCTCTAACTCCTAAATATCATCAAAATCAATAATAACAATCTATGGTCCAATGGTCCAAGGACAAAATTATAACATTATAATATACCTATACCTATATATATATAATATCTGAAAAGATCCTTGGACCATTGGACCAACTTTTTTATACCAGGAAAGTATTAATCCATATCTAGAACACCAAATTCAATAATTATATCAAAAATTCGTTAATAAGACCAAACCCTTGGACAATTGGACCAATTTCCTCTATATTTCCCACATAAAAAAACAATACATGTTACACAAAAAAATAATTTGAAAAATGCTTTAATCAGCTGCCATACTCCCCTAATACTAAGAATTCTGATTATTTAGAATATTCTTAGCGAGTTTTACAGCTTTCTTATGCTCTTTGGCCTTTTCCTTTTTTCCCTTAGCAATAGCTTCTTCAGCAGGAGTCTTTAATTTAATCAATCCATCCTTAGATACAAAAGTATGTTTATTAGTACCGCAAACAATACAACTGCCAACCCAAATGAAATTGATGTAAGTAATGATAGTATTAATACCGCATGCAGAAGTCTTGATGAGTTCATACAAAGGCTGAATAATTCTACTCTAAACCAGAGGACTGCGGTGAATAAGCTTAATGAAATCACTATATTTGCTCATAGACTCTGAGATATTGCTAAATGTGAGAATGATTAATTGGCACCACTTCAGGTCCAAGTCCAGCAAAATCTTCAGGCATTTGGTCAGTCTAATAATCAACTTATACTGTTCCAGAATAATCTAGCTTGTCTTCATTAGGATTATACTAAGGTTGTCCATGATGGGGGTATACTTAACCAGACCCATAATGATCTTATCCAGATTCATAACGAACTTGTTGCAAAGCACAATAATCTCATTAATGCCAATGCTATCCAGGTCCATGCCCATAATGCTTGAATCCAGACTCATATTACTGATATTGGGTGGTTAAATAGAATGCAACTGAAATATAACAAATGGAAACAAAGAGCCAGAAATAGAAATACTAATCTTGACATTATTTGGTTTATAAACATGCCAAATTGAAGCCTTCATATCCTTATTATAACAGTATGGCCAGAACTGCCTGAATTCTCTGGGAGCATGGATGATGATGATGTTAATACTTTTACCAGAAGATTCCAAGGATTTCTAGCAGGTATTAATATTAACATAGCAGTTAAAGCAGATAGAGTTCGAGCTTTAGGTATACTAAGAAGCTGTTTGACTAATGATGCTGGTGATTGGTATGATGAAAAAATACTTGGAAAAAATTGGATGTTAACTAATATTATAGATGCTGGTCACAATTCTTGGTGATGGTTGCAACCATATTTGCGACATATAAAAATGGTTTGTGACACCTGGTTGTGACCACTTTGGTTTCCTTTTTTGGATCGTGACATGGAACACTAACTAATATATATGACAATACTGCTGTAAATACTAGAAATGCTCTTCAAAATTTGACTATGGTGCAAATGAATGGTACTAATAGTTTTAGACCACATTCTTCAGGATTTGTTTTTGCAAATCATCCTGTAAATAATGCAGATATATACTAGCTAAAATGGTGCCACATCAAGCTTTTGAAGAAGATTGGACTAATACTGGTGGAGAACCTACAGATGAGCCACCTAGATTGGCTGAAATAATGGCACTGTTCCTATAATATTACCTGGAATTCATCTTGGCCAAGCTATTTTTTATCTTAAAAATCAATATCCTACAGTATTAGAAGAAAGACACAAAGTACAATTTGGTAATCTTGATCAAGGTAATGATCCAGTTAAAACTTTCTATGAAAAAGTAAAAAAATACAGTAATTTACTAAATTTCAGTGATGAAGTAATCAACCATCAATTCTTTAGGGGGCTATCACCAGACAATCAGGTTGAAGTAGAACGAATTGGTTCTGAAAAAGCTGTAAGTGAATTATTTAAAAATTTAGAGAGTTGAAAAATGAAAATCAGCAGTTGTATCTGCTGAATGGTATTCACCAATTATTCACCAATTATCCAGTTAATTGGGTATTGAAAATTTTTCATTGATTAATTAATCAGGTGTTGAAAATTTCCACCAAATAATTGGTGAATAATCAGTGGTACAGAATATCCACGTAATTAATTTTATCACTATTACATTCTTTAATGACAGCCAAATGAACAAAATTGAACCCATTATTATTTGAAAGAGTTGTACATCCGGAAAATATAAAAAAATTTTACATGTGTCAATTGTAAGTTTAATAATAAAAAAGTGTAAAACTTACGTCGGCATCGTAAGATTTATCCAAGTTTACACTATTTTCCTGATGAATAAAAAAATTTTTTTTTAAATAAATTTAATATTTAACAGATATTCAGTGAATATTCAGTGAATAACCAATTATCTGGGTGTTGAATTCTATTGACTGACCAATTATCCAAATGTTGAGTTTTATTGATTGACTAATTGCTCAAACACCCAGATAATCAACAGATACAACCACTAACAAAAATCTGAAATGAGATTGGGTGTATCAAAGAGAACTGGAGCTACTGACCATCAAGCTCAAATACAACCTACATATCAATTGTCAGAATCATATAAACCAAGTCCTTCTGGATTTTGCAAAAATTCCAACAGCACCATATCAAAAAATGATGATTTGCAAATAGCCTGAGAATCTGCAAAAAATACTACTGATGAAATTCTTAATAAGTCTGCAACTTCAAGCAATAAAATAGTTGATTCTCCTGAAATTACTAAGGCAGAAAAAATACACAAACTTCTTGATAATTATAAAGCTTCATTAGATGAAATGGACTTAAATTACAAATCCAATATTAATAGAATAGTGAATAGAATTGCTGAAAGACTTGAGCAAAGGAGACTTGATAAGGAAATTGCTAGTATTTCTGGTGGAATTAATACTCTAAATATTAACAATCCTGTTCCTGGTCCTATAGATACTTCTAATTTGATACATGAAATTGCAACTGATGATGATGAATATACTCTCCGATTTGTTCGAAAAAAAAAGTAATGGAAAACTAGCCTTCTACTAAGACTAAGGGTGGGAAAGAATCTAATTCTTGTAAGGAAAATAAAGGACTATCAATTGATAAAAATTCGATTAAAATTATTCACAAATTAATTATAGAAGAATTGACTTGTTTGGGGTTATTGCAAAGTGAAGGCTCTTATACACCATCTCTGTCAAAAGAAACTTCTAAGCCTAGTGAATTCATAATGCCACAAATTTTCAATAATTCTATGGATATTGATCTTGTAAGGATTGAAAATGCCAAAGATTTAACTGCTATAGAGGGACAGATAGAGGGAGGATCATTGTCAATTCATGTTCTAACATCTCTTGGATGCCTGAGGAAATTTGTAAAGAACTTATTATAGTTGGCTTGGTCTAAAGACCTCCTAAATTTTGGGCAAATTTTAAAAATATAGAAGTCACTTTCTGTCCTACCTTTTAAAAAAATAGCTCTATTGGTTGTCTTTAGTTTTAATGTAATAGAGATTTTCGCAAAAAATTATTTGTCATGGAGTTCTATTCTTTTTTAAAACATGTACTTTACTATGCTCGCGAGGAATTTGTCCGCTATGATCATTTCTAAATTTAGGAAAATATTACCAAATTTAGACTAGTTCTTGACTATCGTATCTAAATTTGGCAGAAAGAAAACTAAAATCACGTAGTCATTTTTTTGGCCGCATGGCGCAGCAATATGAGGTCTTTAGACCGAGCCAACCATAGTTCATTAGAATTTTAATTATGGACATGGTTTAACCTTTTTCAGAAAATTATGAACTTGAAAAAAATGATTTAGACAAGGAGCTAAATTTATTCCTTAAAATTTATTTAGTATCATCTATGATCAAGTGTATTTCTAATTTTTATTATTATAATAGATTATATACAACAATTCAATTGATTTTTTAAAGTAACAAAAATCTAATGTTTTAAATTAAAAACTTGGGCGAAACAATGTTATTAATATTTTTGAAAAAAGCATTTTTTATTTTATCTTTATCACCAATTTTCCTCTTGATGAGTTCTTTTCTTATACTTGTGGATAATTTTTACGCTTCTTGATCGCCATCTCCACATTAAAAAAACAAAGAATCTTTTCTCTATTTTTATTATAATAACATGTTCCATATTATTATTAAAAATGCAATAAGTTTGCAATCCTGCCGTCCCTAAAAATGCTAGTGAAGCCCCGTCCGTACTGTATGTGCAAGGAAACAAATAAAGAACTAGAAACAGGTACGAACGGAACTTAGCATTTTTAGAGTCGGCAGGATTGGAAGCTTGCTCCATTTGTAATTCCCTGAATTGTTGTTGAATCATTCAAAATCATTATTGAGTCGTTTAATATTTGAATGACTGGTGTTTAAATGGATGGTTAACTTATGTTTTATGTTTTTTAAAGTAGGTGATGAGTGTGATAGGGTTTGTATATAATAATAATAATTATTATTATTATTAATTATTAATTTTGATTTGCGAGTGTTTGGTGATGATGTTATAGCGGTAACATGTTCGTGTACATAAAAAAAAGATTTATTTTATATTTTTTTTTTTTAATTATAAAAAAAAAAAAATTTGAATATAAAAAAAATATTCAGAAAGTGTATTTATATCCGTGTAATTATACGCAGTAATTGTATTACACTGGAAATTATCCAATCAATTTTGAATTTTATTTATCAATTTATCTATGTAATATGTTTTGCCAACTTTAATATTATAGTTCATCAATTTATCTATCACTCTGGGTATATGTTT